GGGTTCGACAACGAGAATTGCCAGCAGCAGCTGGCTATCAAATACAAATATGTCTGGGTCTGGGAGATTGATTGCGAGATTTGTCGTGCTAGTCTGGCATGACTCTGAACTCTGTATTGCGTGGCCGCGAAGAGCTCCGCTCGCCTGTCATGCAAAAACGCAGTTTCTCATGCGGAGTACGCTACTCAGAACCACGGAAAAACTTGTCATGCTTGGCAGCGCATTAAAGTGTAATCACTATTTTTCCCGCCGTCCTTGCATCACAAGTTTCCAGACCCAAACATATTCGCAATGCATATTGGCCCACAAGACCGGCGGTGGCACCTTCTTCCACTATGCGGCGAAAAAGAATAACAAGCCCCTATCAAATGCAAAGATGTCTGGGTCTGGACTGTTGCAACTTGTGATGCTATCTTTGGATTCTAGACAAATCTGTATTGCATGACCAACAAAAGGAGCCCAGTTTGTGCTACGCGGAGACGGCATTGCTCATGCGGAATATGCATCAGAAAGCCCTTTAAAAATCTGTGATGCTCGGCCATGCATTCCAGGCGTCATGGGTCATGCAAGACATGCATGACAAGCCTGGCAATCTTCCAGACCCAGACATATTTGCACTTGATAGCCTCTCTTCGACTACCTAGTGCTGAACCTGGACGAAACGATTATCAAGCAGCAGGTATGCATTGCAAATATGTCTGTGTCTGAGAGAATCCAAGGTTTGTAATGCAGGTTTTCCATGATGATCCATGAGGGCTGGAATGCAGAACCCAGCATGACAGATTCTGTGAGCAGATTTCCATCATGCCTATCCAGCATGAGAAAGAACTCCCTCTCAGTTTGATCAAATAAAGTGGACAACTTTTTGCACTCTTGCAACACAAAGTTTTAGCATCATCCGGACTTAGCATGACAACTTGCAGTGTTGCAGACCCAGAGAACATATTTGCAGTGCATAGCAGGTGCATGTGATCGACGATTTCGGCAAGAAGGCGATCGATTTGGTATCAGGAGGAAAAATCTCCCCTCCCCATATCGAAAAGGAAATCTGTGATGCTGGATTTGCGTACACAAATCAGATTTCTCTTGCAAGTGCAACAGAGGACTGTAGGCACATGCCAATCCTGGGCAGCGAGGTTTTGACAACATAGGCGCCTAGCATTACAAATGTCCACACTATAGGCCCAGCAGCATCACAGACGAACCTGAAACCGCCTGCATAATGCGGCGTAGCCTGTGAGGTTGCCTTCTTGCAAGACAGAGACGACTTGCGGTCACAAATCAGCATTGCAAACTGTCTTTGGCTTCCTTTCGATATGGGGAGGGGGGATTTTTGCTTACGATATTTGGCGAACCCGAAGAAGAAAAACTCGCTCTTCGAAGAGTTCTCGTACCCGGAGTCAAAAACGTCCCCATTCCAGAGTTGTCATGCACGTCGGGCAGAAAGTGGCTTGCAACAGAATTTGCCATACACAGAACATGATTCGTGCGGTCGGGGGAAGGGTGGCTTGCAATTAAGGTACCGAATTGCAAAGCCAAAAGCGCAGTGTTAGATCCTGGGAAAAATGATTTTTTTCCCGGAATTAGGGAACCGAATTATCGCGCTCGGGCAAAAAGTGGCTTGCAATTAAGGTACCGAATTGCAAAGCCAAAAGCGCAGTTTTAGATCCTGGGAAAAATGATTTTTTTCC